TCTATAAAATGCATGGCTCAAATCTCTCATCCCACAAGTCACCTTGATCAACGGTCAATATTCAATCTCAAGAAATAGGCAAACTATGGAAATCCTAGGCCTAAATTTTACTACAAATATGGGTGTTCTCCCCCATCTCAACACACCTCTCTCTCCCGCAAACTCTCTCTCTATCTTTCCCATGGGCCATGCCCCTCTCTCTTCCTATACTCTTACTTTCTCTCTCTACTCTCTCTCCTAAAAATGACCCTAGGGGCACACCCAATATAGACTCTCCCTCTCATAAAAATTTGGGTTTGAGCCTAATTATTTTGGAAGTAGAGTTTTGTAGAGATTTAAAGGTGGTTACTTAGTTTGGTCGAAATTAGCTTTTTCCGATCGAGATTGAAACTAGACTGCAAATCCCGTACTATTGGATGTAGTGACTCGGTGTGGGGTGTAAAAAACTCGGTTGAGGTAATCTCCAGAATCTTTTCTTTTATTTTATCTTCTCAAGCACAGTATTAGGTTGTTTGAATGGTGTCAAGTAGTTGAGATTTATTTTATTGATATGTTATTTATTTTTGTAATTTCTATTGTTTGTAATAAGACTACTTGTGAGTGATCTTGTTGCCAAAATTATAAAAGATAATTATTATTAAAAAAAATTTATATTTTCCTGGCATAAAAGTACATAGGTATTTCTTTCAAGGACTTGGGAGACTATATCTTCTATAACCTTTTCGGTCGACTCAAACCATGTCCAAAAATAACCATGAAATAAGATACATATAACTCGCTAGCGGAAGCTTACGGTGGTGAAAGATCAAGGCTTGAGGCACTGTTTGTGCCTGATGTCCAAATGCGAAAAAAAACCGCATACACAACAAAATGAGGTCAAAATGTTTGAGCTTCAAGTTTGTAAAGAAATCACTTTGAAAATGATCCTAATTTCAAGCATTAAAGGAGGTCTAACAGCAAATTCAGTTCCATTTAACTCTAGTGTTGATCAGGCACTCAAAATCCATCTTCATCGGAATTTAAACTTTATAAGTAAAATTCACTTGATAAAATCATTTTAAAAGTTGGTTTGAAACACCTTCAAAACTAATTGCCTATCTCATGCTCCATGGATAGACCCTTTGTCATGGCTGTGTAGTTTCTCCCTCTCATTGTGATCGAACTACACAAGGGAGCGAGTAGGGCTGTTAACAAGCCAGGTTCGGCTGGACCCACCCATGCCCAAGCCCAGCCAGAAACCACGCAAGGTCTTGGCCCAGGATCGAAAGAGAAACTTTGGGTTTGGGCCCAGGCTTGGCCGGAACCCAGCCCAAAACCCGAAAAAAATGGGCCAGTCAGAGCTGGGTGGACCTTAGTAACAAGGCCCAAACCTAGCCCAAAACCTGAAAAAAATGGGCCAGTTGGAGCTGGGTGGACCTTAGTAATGCATAATTTATTTATTTATTTATTTTTAAGTACATAAAACCTTTGGGGTGGGTTCGGGCTAGCCTGACATGGCCG